ACCACCTGCGGGTGGCACAGAGGAAACCTCAGCAGCAGCAGCAGCCACGCACAGAGAGGTGCAGCAGCACAGCGCGAGGGCCAACACGCACAGCATGTGGCGCGGCACCATCGCAAATGTCACTTGGGCCCGCACTCCTTACAGATCGTGGTGGGGGGAGACAGAGCAGTTCGCGCACAGCCACACAGCGGAGAGAAGAGAGGCCGCCCACCGCCAGCCCACACAGTACACCCAACCACACGCACGAGAGCACACTCACAAATGAGTGCGCCACGCCCCAGCGCCAACCAATGCCCACACCACAACGAAGGAGGAGCGCACACGCGGAGGTACAGCCGCACCTTTCGCTGCACCTTCTGCACACTCACCCGCAGCACAAGGGAGGTGGTCCCGCAGAGGCGCACCAACACACACACACACACACACACAGAGCGGAAACAGCAGCACCCAATACGCACTACAAACGGCAACAACGTAAGAAGCATGACGTGCGCACCTCAACAGAATAGAAAATAACAAAACAGTGTGAGTTATTCGGCGGTGCCCAGCCCACTCACTCCAGTGAAGCGTATAGCATTGGCTGCAGGCAGCGGTGACAACGCACCCAAGCAGGCCGAGCGACCGTCACCGGCGCCATTTTAGTTCACGTGTGTGCCGTCGCTGATGCTGCTGAACCCAGGTGCTGAAAGAAAAGCAGCGGCAAGGAGCAAACATCGTGCCTGCGGACACCCCCTTCCGTCAGCACCCGCCTCGTTAACGGCAGTGCCTTCCAAAGCGGTTGCTCTTTGTGCAAAAGCGTTCGTAGCACGAGTGCCTGAAGTAGCACCTGACGCACTCGGGGTTTCCCATCTTGCGTCGGAGGCTGTGGTTCTTGCAGCGGCATCCGAGGAGGTATTGGTTCGACCCGTTTGCCCTGCGTGAACACCGGCAGCGCCAGGGCACGACGCTCCTGCTGGGAGATGTTCCCTGCGTGGACGCATCGTCACGAGTCACATGCTGCGATGCAATGGGAATGTCCGACCCACCACGGGTTGACCTTTGAGGCCTTTTTTTTCATTTGCGTGGCTCCCGCGTCGCTCCCCCCGGCCGCTGTGAAAGACCCTGCGCGCCGCCGTGTGCCTGAGGAAGCGTCGCAGCAACAATGAGCTCGTCCGCCTCACGTGCCGCACTCTTTTGGCACCCCTGAAGGGCATCACGGCTTTGCACGCGCAGCGCCAGTTCCACTTTGCCAACCGCGTGGTGTTCTCCACGGCTCACTGTTGAGCGGAGCTCCGTTCCTCCACGGCACCTGCGAGCCACTTGCTTGGTTCACCCCACCCGCGATAAAGCACACCCCTTCTGCGCCGCGTCGCCTCCCCGACCCTCTCCTTTCCGTCGGGCACCAGGCAGACACTCACTGCTTGACGCTTTGCTGCTCTTCATTGCACCTCCAGAGACGCATTGCTGGCCCTCAACACTCTGCTGCCGCCTCCTCCATTTAGCAGCAGCAGTCGACAGTTTCGCATCACTGCAGAGAGCTTCGTGCTCGTCTTCCGAGTCTTCTGTGATCGGTCTGACCTCTCCGCTCCTCATGCCCGGCGTACCGCCGGCTCGTCCCTTTTCCTCAGTCTCCGTCCCTTCGCCCGCTTCATGCCCATCGTTTAACCCATGCGGAGGACATTCCCTCACCAAGCCCATTGACCGCAGCATCGGGTCTTTTGAGATCACCACCAATTTTCGGAGCGCCTTCATCAATGCCTCTCCCCTCGGCATTCAAAGCAGGGAACAAGCTTGCATCAGCGGCGGCCCTTGATGATGTCAACCACCCTATCTTTCTGTAAAGACTTAGTACTCCAGTCTGGCGGAGGAAGCTAAAAGTCGACTAACTTGTATAACCTTCTATTATGCCTTGTAGCCTTGTACTACCGTCAAGACCCAAACCACCAGCCCTTTGCATTGTAATGGGGGTTCCTTTCGCGTCCTTACGGTTAATGGTTGGACGCGTTGGTTTGACCAGCAAAGGCGGGACAGAACTCATTCACCTTCCTGCCAAAGGCCCGGAAAGGTGTTTAAAGCCATCTAAGCCTCCTCTCAAGCGAAAGAGCGAGGCATTCGAGAGAGTTCCCGGCCCCCCAGTCAGTCCCTGTAAAGGGAAAGGGGGGACAATGGGAACTGTTTTCAGAGAGCAGTGCTCCTCGGAGCAGGTCCCTCAGCACGCCACTGGCGTCCGCCTAAACGCACTTCAACCTCCGCTGCCGTATCGGAAACGCACAGCTGTTGACACCTTCCCCCAATTTACGGGTATTATGCCAGCAGCTGCCCCGAGAATCTATAAAAACTCAACAGCATCCATTCAACATCCTTGCACCGCCTGAGCGGATACAACGACCAACGGTCGCAGAGGCACTGCCTCCAGACAGCACACCTTCAAGTACTCCGGCGGAGCGGCCGTGACACAAAAGGACTCGCAGCGCGGCGCAGCAGCAATCCCCCACAGCACACAGCGCACATCCGCCACTCCTGGTACCTCCCCCTCCGCTGCTTCAGATAGCCTACCCACGCTGACAAAACAAGAAGAAACAGCCCATCACACAAGCACAACACCGGAAGGAAGCAGCGCCACACGCACGGCTGCGCGTCAATAAAACCCACGCAAAGAAAAGAATACGTTACACAGGAAAAAAAATTAGAAAACAAAGTTGTTTGCTCCGTACAAAAAAAATTATTCTTCGCTTGCGGCGCGAACACCACCATACACACATGTTCCACCAACACAAAACAAGAAAACAAACACACGTAATAATCAAGAGCAAACGCCTACGTGTGATTAGGAATGTGCCTCCAGATATCATGCGTGAAAAGGAACCAGCCGCAGCACCGTAGTGTACAGCTGATGACTCACAGGGAAAATATTAAAAAGAATTTTATATTGCTCAAATATACCCAGAGCTGCTCGCGGGTAAAAGGTCACCCCACCCTAACACACCGCAGCACACTGTCGTTTGAACCACGACCCAGAAAAACAGAAGCTTTCGTACCCGCATCAACGAACAGATATTAGAGAAGACCCCTGTTATTCTTCAGCAACCGCAGAGCCCACGGAGGACGACGAGTCCTTGGATTCCTCAGCACCTGCAGAGCCCACGGTGGACGACGAGTCCTTAGATTCAGCAGCACCCGCAGAGCCCACGGTGGACGACGAGTCCTTGGATTCCTCAGCACCTGCAGAGCCCACGGCGGACGACGAGTCCTTGGATTCCGAAGCACCTGCAGAGCTCACAGAGGACGACGAATCCTTGGATTCCTCAGCACCCGCAGAGCCCACGGNGGACGACGAGTCCTTGGATTCCTCAGCACCTGCAGAGCCCACGGAGGACGACGAGTCCTTGGATTCTGAAGCACCTGCAGAGCTCACAGAGGACGACGAATCCTTGGATTCCTCAGCACCCGCAGAGCCCACGGAGGACGACGAGTCCTTGGATTCCTCAGCACCTGCAGAGCTCACAGAGGACGACGAATCCTTGGATTCCTCAGCACCCGCAGAGCCCACGG